CGGCTATCTCGTGCTTCCAGTGTTTGGCTCTGTGCGAAACAGAGGTATCGCTTTTTCCTTTCGGGGTCTGCTTCCGAGCGTGGATCGCCGCAGGCACCGGGGCGGGGGCGGGCGCCGCGGGCGGCCGGGGGCTCAGGGCACACCCGCGAGGACGCAGGGCGAGCGGTGGCCGCTCCCCACACCCTTTTGGGGAGACCCCCGAGTGTCGGGGTGGCCGCCCTCGTGGGAGCTTTTGTAGTGAAGTTAGGGTTTGGCGAATTTGGGTCCCTCCCTCCCTAGCCCCATTTTTTATTCTTTGCGGCGGACGTGGTTCCCCCAAATCACAGCCCCTTCCCCTAATACCTAACCCTGTATGATCGAAAGAAGGAGAGATATATGACTGTGTGTGTGTGTGTGTGTGTGTGTGTGTGTGTGTGTGTGGAGAGAGAGAGAGAGAGAAGAGAAAGCATGCTTGGTTTTCTGTAATTTGCATTTTTTGAAGTCTATGTGTATTTTCTGTTGTGTGTGTTTTATATTTTTTCATTTTTTTGGTTATTAATACCGATGGCTTGTGAGCTGGGATCTGGGTATCTGCCCCATCCCATGCCCCAGCCCCCACCCTCCGGTGGGCACTTGCACGATTTCCCGTCCCATCCTTTTCTCTCCTTTAACCCATTTTATGTTATTATCCTTGTGCTGTGCCCCTGCTCACATCCCCCTCTCCCCACTTCCCAGTTGTCTTTGTATGACAGTTGCATTTACGGGTTCAAAATGCTTGTGTGTGTGTGCGTGTGTATGTGTGCATGCATGTGTGTGTGCGCGCCTCAGAGATCAGACGTGCGCTGCCGTGCACCCCTGGGTCCTGCCGGAGTGGGGTGTCTGGCCCTTGGGTGCTGCGCTGTGTGTGAGGGTGAGGTGGGAAGCTGCCCCGTGCCAGGCCTTTGCCCCAGGCAGCGGTTGACCAAGCAGCAGGCCAGCGCGGGCTTTGTTTTTAACTGTGATATACGGGGTGTGTTTGCACGGTCCCCTTTTCCCACATCCCCTTTTCCTTACATTCTGCTACAGCAATAGCTTGATTTCCCCCTCTTCTTCCCCCACCCCACATTTCTTCCATTTTCTTTTAATCAAATATTCCCACCTCCCAAAGCAAATCCAAGATGCATTTCATTTTTTTTTTCTTTTTGTATTCTGCCTCTGGACTCACATTTCTCTTCTTGGAAATGTTTCTTCTCTCCCACTCCACGTCTGCTTAAATCCCTGCTGGCTAAGGCCCTCCTCTCCCACCCCCTCCCTCACACACAGAATGATGTCTTCCCTCTGCCGACCTGGCTCCTTCACGGAGCCAGAGTGGGGGGCGGGGTCGCAGGGCCAGCGCTTCAGTGCGCCCCAGGGGCCGGATTGGGCCAGGCAAGGAAAGCCCGGCCCTCCTTCTTACAGCCCAGCTGTCCCCAGCCCCGCGCCTGTCCCCAGAACCCAAAAGGCAAGGTTGGCCCCCTTAGGCCTGTTTGAACCGCAGTTTTTTGTGTGATGATAGAATGATGACATTCTGCATTTATCAAATCTTTTTTTTTTCTTCATTGTGTAGCTCAGTGAATGGTCAACTCGCTGCTGTGCGCGCTGTGACCCTTCTGCCTCGCATTTAGCTGTATTGTGACACCCTCTTAACCATTTCCTGTCTCCATCTGAGGAAGGCATTGCTATTTAAGCTGCAGTATCCCCTATCTCAGGCCAGTCTAGGGGGGGGGTGAAGGGGTTTGTGAGGAAGAAGGGGGGGTGCTGCATGAGACTCTTGGAAATGCCAGCCCCCACCCCCAAAGCACAATTATCTCTTATTACTTGGCATTTCCTCTTAAAACGGGTGTGGAACATTACACTAGGCAGAAATTCAAAAATGATTAAGAAGGATGTTGAGCCTGAAAGTATAATTATCCTGATTAAATCATTATCATCCTCATTAATACCACCAATCTCTAAATACCATTGCAGGATGCGGTTTCATGTTTTGAAATTCAAATTGTTCAGCTGCCTTTAAATTTTATTTTTAATACCACTCCCCCCCCATAAAAAAATCCCAACAAAACAAATTCTGCCCATCAGTCAAAGTTTACTTTCATGGCAAACACGCCCACAGGAAATTTAAGGGCTGAGGGGTGAGTTGGGCTGTGAGTAAAATTTAGCACAATGTGCTAAGAAATCATGACCTTCCGATAGAGGATACTAATGCTTAACTCAACAAGGTCCTAAACCACAATCTTCTTGTAAAACTATTAGATAGTCTGCCAGCTTAAATCTGTTCCTTTTAGTATCCATTGTAGTAGTGTAGGATGTAGGCCATTTCAGAATAGATGCAGAGAAATAACCATTTTTGTATCTTCATCCTGTTTAGCCGAATACATTGCACTGTAAATCCCTGTTAAGTGGATTCCTTTTGCCTTGGCATAGAGGCTGCAGCACCCCATTTTCCAGTTGTCCGGGTGGCCATTGGCTGGCTTCCAGGCAGCACCCAGACGTAACTGAGGATTGCATTTAGTTGGAGGCAAAATTATTTAATATCTATCTGTTAAAAAGAAAAATCTTTGATGAAATGGCAGTTGCTGCTTTCAAGCCTCTGAAAATTTGGTATACCAAGGTCTCTGGCTTGAGGGGCCGTGGCCATAGGGTCTTAATTATTTAATTGTACAATGTCAAGAGCATCTTTGGACATCTGCCCTGGCCCTCAGAACTGCCCCTTTAACAGCCGGCTCCCTTCTGCTGCTTGGCCAGCCAGACCTGCTCAAAAACTGAAACAAAACAGCAGCAATCATGAAAGAATAAGGCCCCTACTTCGAGGGCCCTTCCAAAATAAAGTCCCAAGTAGCCTCCCCAGACTGCCATTTGGCAATCTGAAAAGAAAGAGGAAAAAAAAAAAAAAAAGAAAGAAAGAAAAAAAAAATCTCAGCAAAATGGTTTTCCATTAAACAGGGGTAGCGTGTTCTGCTGTGCTGAATTACTTCCTGTTCTTATTTTGTGGGTAATTTTTTCTGTATCAAATATCCTTTTGGTTGTGTATCTTTTTCACCTTTTCTTGTACTAAAACTAAAGCATGATCTGTATTTTTTTACATCCCCCAGTTGACACTGTACAGCGCTCGGTTAGAGATGTTACCCCGCTGAACCGTACTGTGGTACTGTGGTCGTGCAGCCCGGGCCATCTGCTCATTGTACGCTGCTTTTGTTCTGTTGCCCTTCCGAAGCATGGTGGGCCCAGCCTTTTTTTTTGTATCGTGTGCATGACGACATTGTTACACACAGAATCCACTAATACTAATATACAATCTCTCAATAAAGAACTAGTTTTCCTATATTAACCTAGTGTGCTTTTTCTCTTGCTGTTTTCCCATTTATTGTCGTATCCCGCTGTTTAGATTTCCCCCTTGCTTTTCTATCCCCACCCCTCACCCACCACCCCCACCTCCCATTGTAAGATTTGAGTGAATGCCTTTTCTTTTTACTTTCCTTTTTTTTTTTTCTTTTTTTTCCTCGTGGTACAGATACGGTGACTTTAGTCTCATCTAGTCCATATCTTTTAACAATAGAAGTCTGGGGCGATGGGAGAGGTCAGTTGTTCTGTCACCCTGAAACAGCTCAACTGCTAGAGAGGGCCCCTATCTTTGGCCACCTGTATATTCAATAGCCTCCACATTTCATGTTAGTTTCCAAGTTACACAGGCACTGAGTGTCTGTCGCTGGTGAGGGAAGGGGAGAGGACACCAAGGTTGAGAAAAGGGATACTGTTCTTAACTAGCAATCTTGTAGCATTTCAGATTCGCCTGAAAAACCCATTTTGAGTTGTGTTTTAACTTTTCTGTTTCCTGTCTCATTGATTTACTGTCCTTATAAATCATGCTGGGGGTGACATGTGACATGTAGTGGAAGTCATGATTTGGAATTTTAAAGGACCCTCTTCTATGTGCATATTTAAATTCTCAGGACCTACAGTGTAAATTGGACATTGAGATCCTGGATAAGGAAGATATTTCAAACAGAAAGCGAGACTACCCCACCCCATCCCGGGCCGGCAGCCCAATCTGGTTCCGTAGGAATAAGCAGGTCTCTGCCCTCTGCAGGCTGCGAGCTGGTTAAAGCTGATTATAGCCCGCTTGCCTGACAGCTGCTTCGTCTGTGACCCTAGGGCCTCTCTTAGGAGAAAGCAAGCCAGATCTCCGCCATTGTCTAAGTGTGTGTGTGTGTTGGAGTGGGGGTGGGGGAGGTCAGGAGGGAAGTCAGGACCTACCTTCAAATTGAATTCGAAGAAGAACCCTTAAAATATGTCTTTTCCCTTTAATTGCATTGGAGGAGCCAGTGGAGAGGTAATTTTTTCCTCCAGAGTGGAACCCGATTCCAAGCATTTGTCAATTTACACCTATTCCATTTCAGCCTAGAACAAGCCTTGCTAAATGAAGCATCATAGACATGCAAGGAAATCAGTTGATTAAAGAAATTCATGGTTCCTTCAAAAGGTCATCATTTTGAAGCTGTCTCTGTGTTGGCGGATGTGCCTGGTCCTCATTCCTCTGGGCTCTCTCCCTGGCCTGCCCCTTGTCTTTCCCCTGCCAGCAGGCACACCCTGCCTGACCACCCTGCCTGACCACTGGGCTTCCTCACCCTGTGTATTCAGGCAACAACTCCCCTCTGAATCATGGTGCCCTCTCGCTCTGGCCCTTTGTTCTCCTGCTCTTCCCAGCCCAGTGGGAAAGCTGAGCTGATTTACCGTGACACATGGACACACATGGATGTTCCGGGCAGAGGCAGGTGCTGTAGTGTGTGCGAGAGGGGATACGTAGGTCTACAGTCTATTGTGGATTTTTTTCCCCCCTCTTCTTAAAAAAAATTTTTTTTTGTTTACACAAGACTTTTGATTTTATTCCTTGTTGGAGAAATCAAAATAAACCACCTCCAATTCAACCTCTGCAACAAAACGACTCTCCTAAATCAGGTGACCAATTTCATTTTTGTCCTAAAGATGACATCATTAGCCAACTCTTAAGATTTTATTTCTCAAAATTAGTGTTGTGTTTGACAGTGCC